CCATTTTTATTTTAATGAAGCTGGGGATATTTAAATCCCCGCTTCATTGACTATGTCAGGTAGCCTATTTTACATGCCTCTGTCAGCAGAGGCATGTAATCTAGACGTACCCTCAGTATCCAACCCCATGCTTCAGAGACAATTGGGGGCTCCCAATGGATTGATGCCTTTTTCAGACCTAAGGATTCCTTTTTGGAGCAGGTTATCAACGGGTTAATCAATGACTAATAGACACTGGAATAAGCAGTTAATTATAGACTGTCACAGAGACCACCAGGTTGCATGTAACCAGCTATTCGCCTTCCGCTGGTGTGCTTGTGACCCCGCAGAACACACCCTCCTCCCGACAGCACTCTGCTTGTACCTCATATTCATCATTTACAAACGGACCGACCCTTCACACAAAGCATGTGCAGTGCAAACACAGGGTGACGGTGGGAGATATCAGCTCCAGGTGGCCCCAAAGCAGCCCAGCAACAGAGTAATCTCACCTCCCAACCTTCTCTGCAGTGTAACAGTTTCATCTCAAACACAGAAGAAAACAGAATCTTTCTCCTCACTTTCCCTGGGGACTGGGAGCAGATGCTCATTTAGGACCCAGCTATTATTTCACTTATAGCCTAGGGGACTCCAGCTGATGTAGCCCATAGACACGGGCGTTCAAGCCATTGCAGGCAGCTGGTTATTAACGACACAATAATTATACAGAATATCTTGCATTTACATGGTGCTTTGCATCTCAAAGGACCCTAAAGCTCTTTGCAGATAAACGCATTGCTCAACCTAGGGCTGTTGCTGCACTTCAAAGGCGGAGGCGCCCTATTGACTAATCGAATAGTCAATGCAAAAATGCATCGATTATTCGATTAGTCAATTACCCAATACTTAACAGACTTAGTTTGGGATCTGCAATAAAAACCTGAACCTTTCTGGGGAAAATGTTCAATGAAAAAGCCAAACAAAAACATTTTCAGCTAAACATTCTGGAGGAGGGGAAAATCATGTTTGGAACAACTGCAGTAACTCCCCCACTTGGACCCCAGATTTTGCAAAGAGCATCCAGGGATCTAGAATAGCCAGGAGTGGGCAAGGCCGCAGATCTAAGTCTCATCCAAAGACAGTACCTGCAGAAGCAGAGCACCCTGGCATCTTGCTGAGGCACTGACCACACCAGGCCCCGCCATCTCTCCCCAAGGGTCTCTCCAGAGCAGAAGGGAGTGGCTCTGTACTCTCCTCCGACCCAAGGAGCTCTCAGCATGGCATGTACATTGGGAGCAGCCAGGAGGCACAGCCAGGACATTCCCACCTCTCAGATACTTTCCAATAAATATTAGAGTGGGCAATAAATATCTAGACTGGGCAAGCCTAGAGACTGCTCTGCACCTGAGCCCCCAGTAGCCCAAGCATTACGGAGATGCAAGCCATCCCCTGTGTTTCCCTGCCCTGGGCACAAAAATGAATCTTCCTTAAGAGTGACAAGTGCCACCAGAATTCCTTGCTGCCCTGCACCTCAGGCAGCACAGGGCAGGGAGGATCCAGCTAGAACTGCTGAAGGATGCCCCTAATCATTAGGCTGGCTCCACGGCAGCTCAGCTTAAGAGTTACGCTCCTTGGCATCAGGGGCTGCTTAGCTACCTACTAAGGGTTGCATTCCAACCAAACCAGGTAGGTTTCCAAACTGGTCCTACACAGGTTTCCAATGTCATTCACCAGAGGCCACTAGCCAACAACAGGACAGATTTCAAGACAAGGCAGACAACTGTACCTGAACATAGAGACTGCGGAGCTCTCGCTGGAAAGCCTCAGGATCTGCCGTGAGGATCGCCGGTCCAACCACTGTCAAAGACATCAAAACAGCAGATATCAGCGCGTTCTCCTCTCTGGGCACAAGTCAGCAATCCTCTCTCTCTGTCTCTCCTCTCTGTCAGGTTTCCCTATATCAGCCACACCACCAGGTCTATGAGAGAGACAAGGCAGGTGAGGTAATGTCTCTTACTGTACCAACCTCTGTTAGTGAAAGAGACAAGCACTCTAGCTACACACACAACTCATCTCTCTAATATCCTGCAGCCAATACAGCTACAGCACTGCCAGTACCAAAAGGCCTGTGTTAATTGGACCCATTGCTGCCTTCACCCAGAAACGTGCCTCAGCTGCTATAGCTTTCTTTCAAAGGACATGCCTTTGCCACTGGAAAACACACTGGGTCTCCTTTAGTTAGCACAAGCAGAACAGGGCTGGTTTATGATGGCTCGACTAGTCCATGCCTTTCTGTGGTGGTCGCCATCCCCGCATGGCACTGACAGGTAATCTCCCCTCCGGAATCCCAAAAGAGCAGGCCTGTCACGAGACATTGTCTACATTACAGTCTATTTATGTCCTATTGGCATTGTAATGGGACTTTGTTACACATTGTGATGGGGCACAGCTGCCCCGCACCCTGGGGCCGCTGGCAACAGCTCTGTACGGGGCACGGCACAGCAGGGAAGGAGCCGGCACAGTGTGCCCCCACCCCACGTGGGGCGGATCTTAGCGTCCCCGCCCCTTCTACCGCCCGGTGCGGACCAGGAGCGGGCTCAGCGTGTCCACAGGGGAGCATGCGCGGCGTGCTCCCGGGCAGCCAGGGAGGGGAGGGGGCACGGCTGAGGCAGCATAGAGGTGGCGCCTGGGTGTGACGAAACACCTTGCTCCAGAGTTTAAAAAGAGAAGCGGCTTTCCTGCAGGGAGTCAGTCGCCTGGGAGGCGCGTCCAGGGGCACTGCGAGCGGTCGGGAGACCAAGGCAAAGGAGGCCTTGGTGAGGAGAGAGGAAGCAGCTCAAGGCAGGGCTCTCTAAAAAGCCTGCGGGTTGGCGTGTTACGGCGGGAAGCCCCGCTAGCTGGACCGGACCGGACCGCAATGGGCCCACATCCTTAGGGCCCTGGGCTGGGGTCCGTGAGAGAGGGCGGGCCCAGATCCCCGTCTCCTCTATGGCTGAGATGAACTCGGAGGCGGAGCAAACAGCAAGACAGCAACAGCTAAAAGACAGGATTTAAGGCGGGCCAGACTCTCGCATCTGGGGGGGATGATGGTGGTGGGGCATGAGTAAAGGCCCAGATTGACTAGTCTGGTGGATACCTCATTACCCACATCCACGTGGCTTGGTCTTGCAAACAGGACCAACCTGTATGGTCAACATGTAGCCAAACTGTGGGGCAGCTCTGGGGGTTAGTAAGGCTGTAGCATCTCAGAGAGCCAGGAGATGTCTACTCTGCGCACGGGGTGAGACTGCAGGACAACTAGACACCCTCAAGGGAGCTTCCCTCTAGCCAGGTCATGCACCAGAGCAGTGCAGCCAGGGCTATACAAGCCAACCTGCTAATGCAGGGAATTACTTAGGCACCATGCTGAAAGCCATGCTGCTGCACTTCACTGCTCTGGTCCCTGAGGTAACAAGGTTAAAGCTGGCTCAGGTGTCCCTACGCATGCTGCAATCACACCCCCGACAGCCGTGTAGATGTACCCTTCGTTAACAGAGGGATGGAATTCAGGAGTTGCTGGCTCAGTCCTGTGCTCACATGACAAGAAGAGTCCATCACACTAAGGGTATGTCTACACTGCAAGGAGACACCAGCAGCTGGCCCATGAAGCTCTGATGGAGTTCTGGGACTCTACCACCTTGCAGGGGCCTATAATCCAGGTACCTGCTCAAGCCCAGACATCTACACTGCAGCTAAACAGCCCACAGTCTGAGTCACAGGCAGTGCAGACAATCCTTCATAGGTGTAGCAGGCATCTCCCCATGCTTGACCAGCACACCTGTGCAATGCCTTTACACTGTTAACACTCCCCTCTGGGTCCTACAGCTCTGGGTGAGATGGGGACACTGTTAACACTCCCCTCTGGGTCCTGCAGCACTGGGTGAGATGGGGCACACTCCTAGGCTATGTCTACACTGCAGGCTTTTTGCGTAAGAACATCTGTTCTTGTGCAAAAATTTGTGGAGCATCTACACTGCACGCACGTTCTTGCACAAGTAAGTTTACAGTAAAGCGTCAGAACAGAGGGCTTCTTGCGCCAGAGTTATTCCTCTCCCCACGAGGAATAAGCCCTCTTGTGCAAGAGCTCTTGTGTAAGAGGGCAGTGTGGACGGGCAACAGGGCTTTCTTGCACAAGAAACCCCTATGGCTAAAATGGCCATCAGAGCTTTCCAGCGCAAGAGAGCGTCCACTCTACCATGGACACTCTTGTGCAAAAGCACATCTCTTGTGCAAAAGTACATGGCAGTGTGGACACACTCTTGCACAAGACCTTTTGAGCAAGAACTCTTCCGCAAAACAGTTCTTGCCCAAAAAGCCTGCAGTGTAGACGTAGCCCTAAAGTCTACGATTCTGCAAGTAGCTAGAGCAGGACAGGTGCTTGCCTAAGCTCCCACATTCTACTTACTGGTGGGGGCACTGGGCAAGTCCCTGCAGCCCTGTCTGCAATGAGCAAACACATCATGCTAAGACTAAACTCAACTTTGCCCTAAAGTAGGGCTGTCAATTAACGCCAGCGTTTAACGAAGGACAGAATTAATGCATTAAAAAAATTAATGTGCATTAATCTAGGGTTACCATCCCTCCAGTCCTCGTTTTCCCTTGTTAAATCTCCGGCCGGCTGGCTTTTTTAAATGGCAAAAACTGTCCGGGATTTTGCCCTGCAAAGGGGATCAGGGAGAGGGTGGCAGCACGTGCCTGTCAAATGGAACGTTCGGAGCCACATGCCCAGACCGTTCACAGCCGCTCTGCACAAGCGCCCCAATGCCTGAAGGGGAAAGCACATGGCTGAGGCGGCTCCAGTGAGACCCAGGGCAGGTCCGATGTGGGGGGGGGAGTTGGCTCCTCCCACAGAGTCACCGCATTACCATCCGCCCTGCTAGGTTATGTCCCCAGTTCTGCGGGAGGGGTGGGGCACTGGGTTAGAGCAGGTGGGCTGGGGGGGTGGCTGGTTCTGGGGCAGGGCGGTATGGGGTGGGACCAAGAGATTGAAGTGCAGGATGGGGGCTGCGGGCTGAGGCAGGAGATTGGGGTGCAGGAGGGGCTGAGGGCTCTGGGCTGGGGCCAGTGATGAGGGGCTGGAGCGGGGGTGGAAGCTGTATTCTTATTATTGCTTAACAGCACAATTAATCGAGCAATTGTTTTAATTGCGTGATTAATCGCGATTAATTTTTTTAATCGCTTGACAGCCCTACCCTAAAGTTAACCATAACCAGCTCCTAAAACATTATTAAAACACAAGTGCCCTTGCCCCAGCCAAGGGCAAAATCACATTTCACATCAAGTTAGCTAAAACGTTGGTAACCCAAAGCACTTCTGCAAGCCTATCGCGCCTCAGTTTCACCAACACTATATGAGGGCTATGGGTTTTAATGAACATTTGCAGAGCACTCAGGGTGTGTCTAGACTACGGGGGTTTTTCGAAAAAAGTAGCCTTTTTTCGAAAAAACTTCCCCTGCGTCTAGACTGCTGTTGTGTTCTTTTGAAAGTAAATCGAAAAAACACAGAAGTTTTTTCGACTGCGGAAAACCTCATTTTTGAGGAAGAATGCCTTTTTTCGAAAGTGCTCTTTCAAAAAAAAGTGATAGAAATGTAGCCATGTTAGTCTGGTGTAGCTGAAACAAAAAACTGCTACATAGTCCTGTTTTTTCTTTCAAAAAAAGGTGCTATGTAATGCAAACTGCTATTTTGAAAGAGAGCATCCAGACTGCCAGGGTGCTCTCTTTCGAAAAAGCGGCTTGCCTGGGGGGGGGGTCTCTGAGGCTTCGTCTAGACTGCAAGCCTCTTTCAAAAGAGGCTTTTTCGAAAGATCCTTTAGAAAAAGCCTCTTTCAAAAAAGAGCGTCAAGACTACAGCCGGTACTTTCGAAAAAGCAAGCCACGGAAAACCTCATTTTTGAGGAAGAACGCCTTTTTTCGAAAGTGCTCTTTCGAAAAAAGGCGCCATGTAATGCAAACTGTGCTATTTTGAAAGAGAGCATCCAGACTGCCAGGGTGCTCTCTTTCAAAAAAGAGTGTCTAGATTACAACCGGTACTTTCGAAAAAGCAAGCCGCTTTTTCGAAAGAGAGCACCCTGGCAGTCTGGATGCTCTCTTTCAAAATAGCACAGTTTGCATTACATAGCGCCTTTTTTCGAAAGAGCACTTTCGAAAAAAGGCGTTCTTCCTCAAAAATGAGGTTTTCCGTGGCTCGAAAGAAAAGCCGCGTTCTTTCAATTTAATTTCGAAAGAACACAGCTGTAGTCTAGACGCAGGTGAAATTTTTTAGAAAAAAGGCTACTTTTTTCGAAAAAACCCTGCAGTCTAGACACAACCTTAAAGGCTGTCACGCAGAATTCTGGCTCAGCTCCAACAAACTGATCAAGCCCACTGCTTCCCTAGACCAGTTTTTTCTGTACATGAGACTGGAGGCCTCTGAAATAATGTCAGTGCTCAGACTGACACCCACGAAACTGGAAGGCTCTTCCTTCAGCTTAACCAGAGAGATGGCCAATTTACCGAGCTAGGATGCTCCTGTTACAGCAAACCAGATGCCAGGCCTGACGGGTGATCCTAACCCCCATCTGTTTCCATGTAAATACAAACAGATGCAGCAGGACAGAGGTACAAAGGGAGCTGACGACTTCCCCTGGCCTTCCCCCCATGCCCTGTAGTCCTGCACTATTTCAGCTTTTTCCGGGGTTGAGAGAGACCCTCTGCTTTATGAGTGCCCTTTGTGGTAGCACAGAGAGGTAACCACTCAAAGCCCAATAACAGCAGCTCTAGGCCCTGTCTACAGTGTAACCGCTACCGTATCAGAAGACACTCGTGCAGGGCCTGCATTTAACAGTTGGTTGGCCTTGCTAAATTTGAATTTAAATAAATTTAAATTTAAATTTAAATGAATGGAGATGCCTATCTCCTAGAACTGGAAGGGACTTTGAAAGGTCATCGAGTCCAGTCCCCTACCTTCACAGCAGGACCAAGTACCATCCAACATAGACAAGGCCGATCAGCACAGTAACTCGGTTATTACCAGACTGGGCTACAGCCCTGGACAGTAGCCTGGCTCAGGGATATGGCTAACACACAGCATTACTGGGGCCTAGACGACAAGACCAAGACTTGCTGGGTAGTTGTTTCTGTGAGGGCAGAACCTTGCCTATGGTGTGACAGGAACAATGTGCAGAACGTGCAGAGCAGATGCTGTGGGTATGAAATGTTCCAGTTTGGAGCAGTGTGAGATACAGAATAGAGGAACAGGAACTTTCTCAGATCCCAAATATCCCCATCTAGAAGAGCCACAGAGTCCATTGATTTATCTGGGTCCATCCTGAAGAAGAGTCACTGCTGATATCATGAGACGTTACAACCATATTAAATGGAGTCCACTCAAATCACTTGGCCTAGAATTCCTTGGGGAGCCATCTCCATCAGTAACCAGCGCAGAAACATGAGCAGTCTGGATTTAATGGACAAGCCAACTGTTCTCTCTCTTACAAAAGACAGATGTATTCCCAAAGATCAAGCGGATACGAGGCTGAAAAGAGAGGCCCTGTTTCTATTTTAAGGAACGTACACAGTAGATAGATGCCAATTCACTCTAAATCTCCATTTAGCGCTTCTGATAGCAATTATAATGTAAGGAACATTTGAATTAAAAAGGCTGAAGACAGCAGGAAAAGCTATTTTCTGTATTAATTTTTAGAAGAGAGCTTGTTCTTATGTGGTGAATGTTTAGCACCGGATGGAGGTGTATAAAAGTAAGGGCCTGTCAGAGGAACAACTTTCATCTTTATTTAATGTAGAATTTTGTTTTCTTCTTTACTATCACAGTTCAAATACACAATTATGACTTCTATCCCAGTTGTGCTCTTCAGCTGGAAAGATCTAGACTGCTCTGTAAATTATACAGCTATAAGGCATCTCTTCACACAGCCATTAAAATGCAGCCATCCCTGGGGTGAGTCCCAGTATCTGTAACAGCATATAGCAACAATAGTTTGGGACATGGATGTAAAAGAGAATTTTGAAGGAGACAGGACATAGTTACCCAAGTGGCCATGGTTCCTGGAATTAACACCATAATTAATCCTTGTGAAAAGTGACTTGCACTCATTTACACCCACAAGGATCACATCACAGCCATTTGCAGTACAACCAGGCTCTTCACACCTTGCTGGTTCTTAGCTGGCTGGAGAAGTGTAAGGGTACGTCTACACTAGCTAGTTAGTTTGAGCTAGGTAGGGTAATGAGGGCAAGCGGAGTTCCACAAGGAGTAACGGTAGTTCGAATTAGGATCTTTAATTCGAACTACCTACTCCATGCCGCGTGTAGCCGTGGGCACGGAGTTTGGACTAAGGGGGATTTAAAAATGGCAGCGCCCGGGAACATGCAAATGAAGCCCGGGATATTTAAATCCCAGGCTTCATTTGCAACTCCGCTTGCCCTCATTACCCTACCTAGCTCGAACTAACGAGCTAGTGTAGACGTACCCTAAGAGTTCAAGCCTATGAGGCAGCCTGGGGTCGAATTCAAATTGCTCGCCTGAGGTAAAAGCCAAGTTGCCATGTCTTCACTGCAATTTTAAGCTGCATGATATGATCCAGGGGCCCAGCTGCGGGTGAGCCTAACTGGGCGGTGGCCCACCCACTTTGCATCCAGGCCAGCGGTGGACAAATACCAGCTGATTTGCCAAGGTTAGCCCCTGATGGGATGGCACCGCTAAATTTACTTGCATCTCTGCAGGTACAGCTGCTTGCAGCTCCCATTGGCTAGTGGATCACTATTCCCAGCCAATGGGAGTTGCGGCGAGCGTTGTCCCAGTCTGCACCACTTCCTGCAGCTCCCCTTGGCCGGGAACAGCAATCCACAGCCAACAGGGGTGGCGACCCTCCATATCTGCAGAGGTGCAGGCAAAAATAGTGGCAGTGGCCTGCCAGGGGCTAACCCAGGTGAACAGCTGCCATTTTATTGCCCACCCCTGATCTAGGCCCACCCCCAGGGGCTTTCACAGCTCCCTCCTGTCCTGCTCCACCCCCATTTTCGCCCACACACCCACCCAAATCAGGGCCTAGCTAAATGGACCCTTCTGGCCGTGCCACTGATGTGACCTGCACTAAGAGCACACTTTTAGCAGCATGGACACACTCTGGGTAGGGATGTAATAGCATAGTGGATTAACCGATAAGTAAAAGCGTATTGGTTAATGCTATAGACTAGATGCATTTCCCTCCCCTCTCTCCTTGCCAGTACATTTTTTAGCAGCTAGCCAGCAACCTGGCTCAGCCCTGCTTGCAACGGGTCTGGGACCTATCCCCACTGTGGCTCTGCATTTAAAGTGTATTAGGAGCGAGGTGGGCAGGCAGCCTGGCTCAGTCCTGGCTTACACTGGGTGCGGGACCTACCCTCGTTTCAGCTCTGCATTTCAAGTGTATTAAGAGCCGGGCGAGCAGGCAGCCCAGCTCAGTTCTGGCTCATGCCGGGTTCGGGAGCTCAGACTCCCCTAAACAGGGACTGCTGCCACCCCGCACTGCTGCCTCTTTCTCAGAAGCAGCAGCACAGGGTGACAGGCAGCCAATCCACAAGGAGAGGCCCTGGAGGTTTTTCGCCTTCTTCTGTAGCATGGGGTACAGGTCACAGCTGGAGGATTCTCTGCATCTTGGGGTCTTCAAACTATTTGAAGGCTTCAATATCTGAGATATAGGTGAGGATTATTCTGGGAGGGGTGGGGGAGATTCTGTGCCCTGCATTGTGCAGGGAGTCAGACTAGATGATCATAATGGTCCCTTCTGACCTTAAAGTCTATGAGAGCTGTTTTTTAAACTGGCTCCCCTTGCGAACCAGCTCTCGCCTGGCACCCCGTGCTGCTGCCTTTGATACACTCAGGTCCAGACTGAGGCATGGGTGAGCCAGGCAGCTGCCCGGGGCGCCAACCGATGGGGAGCACCTGATGGCAGCTGTAAGGAGTGCACGGCATCCCTTACAGCTGCCATCAGGCGCCACGCGCCCGGCTCCCACAGCACCAGCCCCACAGCACCCTTCCCCCCCACAGCCGCGGGGCCCTGCACGGCCCGGCGCACGCACTAGCAATGGTAACCGGGCCGGGATGGGCAGCGCATGCACCCCGGGGCCAGACCCTGGACTGCGCACCAGCGGCCGTGGCTGGGCCGCGCATGCGGCGTGCGCCCTGGGGGCAGTGCCGCACGCCCGGGCCTAGGGCGCCAAAAGGGCTTGGGCCGGCCCTGGATACACTGACTGCCAGCCCCACCCCAGGGACTATAGAATAGTCGACTAACCGATAAAATTCCATGAGGTTACTCGACTGTTCAATTAACCGAATTTTAACATTCCTAACTCTGGGAGTACCACCCATTGAATCTTCAATACTCCTTCCTCTCCTGCAGCACCCAGCCGCTCTGAGGTCTTCCATCCAAATACTGAGCTGGCCAAAGCACCCTCCGGTAATGAGACTGGAGGAAATTGCAGTCCAAGCTGCATGGCTGCAGATCAAGCAAGGACCTGAGGCTAAAGCAATCACAATGAGATATGGTAACGTGAGGAGAATCAGAGGCAGATTTGGGGAGGCTCGTCAGAATTCCTTCAGGAAATTGGCAGCTTCCATCATAGACCCAGGCTGTCTAGGTCAGACTGATGCTTTTCTAATTTAAACTGATACTTTCTCGCCAGTGAGGTCAGGCCCTGTAATTCCAGCCATATTAGCACAACCCTGCTCCAGCTGTGTTTGGAGCAGTTACCTCCCAGCTTTGTGTGTAGTGAATGCTAATGGGGCTGAAAAGCTGAGGTTCAGAAAGGAGACAAGGTAGGACAAAGTGGCCTTGAAAAGGTGGGGGACTTTGATCCTTACTAAAGGCAGCTGTTTGTTTTCATACTGAGCCAGGGTTAAGGGAAGCACATTGTACCATGTAACCCACACACCTACTGGGTATGGTTCAATGTCCCACTAGCAGCACTGAAATCACTGACAGAGACAAAGAACGAGTGCAGCCTTAGCTGAGAGCCAGCTGGCTTTTAGCACAAGCGGTAGAAGCTTATGCACTAAGCTCCCGAGGACCCCGATTTGATTCTGCCTGTTGGCATTGCAACTTCATACCCCAGTCCTACATCCTCAGTACCTGCCTTTAACAGGACCAGAACCTAGTCCCCAGAATGAAATAGGTTCAGTATGACTGGAACCGGTGGCTCTACAAAGTGCAATGCAACATATTATGCAAATAGAGACTGAGCCCCATATTACATAGCATGTCTTATATTGGCCCAGAATAACTGACTGTGGCTTAGCGCAATGCTAATATTTCCAAGGGGGAAATGCAAGGATCCTAGTGCATTGCAAGGCATTGCCCTGGACCAGAAGTGCAGGTCCTGGGTCAGTACAAGGCATTTATTGAACCGGAACCGCCTTACCTGGGTCATGAAAGGGGATAAGCGCATAGTTGCTAATGGCTTTTGTGCTCCTGCTGAGTGTCCTCTCCAAGATCCGGGATGCTCCATCTATCACCTGCACCAGGTCGTCGTGCATGGAGCCAGTGACATCAAAGACAAAGGCCAAGGTGACCCCTCCAGAATGGGGGATGGGCTCTCCAAGGCCAGGGGCCAAAAGCAGCCAAAGCCCCAGGAGGAGACCTGCTGTGCGGTGCATGGCCTGGGCGCCGTCCAATGCACAGGCAATCCCTCTGCTCCTGCCCAAACCTTTGTGGGATTCCTTCCTGGGAAAATGCTCTCTCTCCAATTTGCCTGCCCCCCCCTCCAAAGAACTGAGAATTGCTCCAGCTCTCCCTACTCCTAGGGCAAGAACAACTCCAGGCAGAGAAATCAGGCTGCCTTTCCCTTAGCTGCATCTAGAGGGGCAGATGAGAGAACCTAGCTGCTGGCACAGCTCCCCCCAGCCTCTCCATTCCTTCCTAGCTGCTCCCAGACACCCACTGAAACAAACCAACCAGTGCTGCTGTGCTAGTGTCCCCTGGCTAGACGGTGCCCTCGGACACAGCAGCGGAAGGGGGGCAGACAAGGCCAGCCCTTGGAAGAAGGGCGGCCACCAATAGCTACATGAAGGGAAACCTCCTCTAAAGTGCAATTTCTGCAAGAGAGAATAAAAGCACTTTCTGAGCAACTCCCCTGGTGAGGCAGTGGGTGGGAACTGGAGGAAGGGGCGATTGGATGCAGGTCCTAAAGCCCACATTATTCACGGACATCCTAGCCTGTTTTCTCCCCACCTCCCTCCCCGCTACCTCCACCTCCACCCCTACATGAAGGGAAACCTCCTCTAAAGTGCAATTTCTGCAAGAGAGAATAAAAGCACTTTCTGAGCAACTCCCCTGGTGAGGCAGTGGGTGGGAACTGGAGGAAGGGGCGATTGGATGCAGGTCCTAAAGCCCACATTATTCACGGACATCCTAGCCTGTTTTCTCCCCACCTCCCTCCCCGCTACCTCCACCTCCACCCTCCTCCTCCCCGCTCAGGCCAGAGGCTGAATGAGGACATGGGGCAAGGAGCGGAGTGGACGTGGGGAAACCTGGCCAGGAAGGAATGTACGCAGCGCAAAGAGAACAGCTGGGATGTTAGCTGAACTGTAAAGGGAGCACCGAGGAAGCGACACCAAGCACACCAGCGCTTTCCCCTGGAAACACCCAACAAGGCAGATCTCTGGAGGAGGCCAGCTAGATTCTCAGCAGACAAAGCCCCAAAGCAAGAGAGGCCTGTTGGATGCTTTCAACATACGTGCCTGTGGGATGAGGAGAAAGCCACCCTAACAACCTCCATGCTGCAGCTTACAGTGACTATCTTGTACATGGTAATGCACAGCACAGAGAACTGTAGGACACTGAGCCGGGTGGGGTGGGAAATGCATTCCATGGCTGTGAAGTTATGGATCATTTAAAGCCAGGGAACATATCACTGGGGAGGGGGAAGTGAAGGACCCTGTGGGCAAGATATGTATCTCCCCTTAAACTTTAAGAAAAGCAGCTGAGCTCTTCCAGATCTTGGCTGTGCAATCTGAGTAAGACACTCAGCGGTGGCTCAGCTGAAGAAAGGGGATTCAGGGATCAATCATTTGCTAAGGTCAGCAGGTGAAACAGTCAAAGACAGGGAGGAAAGAGCCCCAAGTAGCCAGTGTTTTCAGGGCTGCTTCCTGACGGTATGTCTACACTAGCCCCCTAGTTCGAACTAGGGAGACTAATGTAGGCATTCCAAGTTGCAAACGAAGCCCGGGATTTAAATATCCCAGGCTTTATTTGCATGTTCCCATCCGGTCGCCATTTTTAAATTCCACTGGTCAGAAGTAACTGCCCGTGGCTACACGCGGCAGTGAAACGGTAATTCAAACTAAGTCCTTAACTGTTACTCCTCATGGACTTAGTTCGAATTACCGTTTCGATATTTTCTGCCAATGCTTTTTGTGCAAGGGGTTTTTGTGCAAAAAGAAGTGTAGCCTCCAGGAGAGGCATAAGGATCTTGCGCAAAAGGGTTTTTTTGCACAAAACAGAAGCGGCTACACTGCTTCTTTTTGCGAAAAAACCCCTTGCGCAAAAAGCATTGGCAGAAAATATGCTAATGACATTGCGACTCATGCTAATGAGTCCGTCATTAGCATACCCTCTGCTGCAAAAATTTGTAGTGTAGACAAAGCCTACAGATTTACACGTATTAGCTTAGATTTCGCGTTTAGCTTAATGCTGTCCCTAATCAGTTTAAGATAAACCAAAATTAAATCTGATTTAAACCCAAATAAAAGTGTCCACACGGCCTGCTGGCAGGTTTAACTAAACAGTTTTCAAATCAGGATACAAGTTAAACCCATGCATCTGTGTATGTCGACAAGACTTTAGTGTAGCAGGCTGCAGTAGGGTGGCCCCCAGCCTTCTGGTTTACTTAGAGATGTTTAATTTCTCCATCTCTGACTCCCAAAGCAGCATATACTTGGTGACGGAAGTAAACAGAAGGGAGAGATTTATGGTAACATTAATCTTGGAAGAAGAGTCTTTAAAGAAACAAATGGGAACACTGGGACAGTGCCAGTGTTAGTGTTCACAGGCAGGGCTTGAAAGAGGTCCCAGATGCATTGAAAAGGCAGCCTGCTGGACAGAGGTTTCCAGGTGGGAACTATTCTTTGCATTGGATAATCACCCACCCCCGAACATCAGCCAGGAGCAATCAGCCACGTACTTCAGTCTGATTTCCTGCCCCACCCACAAACTGCATCCAACCTGCTTTCATCTACCCACTTTGCGCACAACAAAATCTTGTCCACTAAGCTACAGCGAGAGGTGTTACCTTCCTACACAGGGATGCAACAGCTGGGTTGTTGGTCCCCTCTTCATGTAACAGGGCCAGGGAGGATGACACAGACAGGATGACGTAGTCTAGATGAACAGCCTCTCAGGCAGGAGGCTGTAACCATTTGTGTCTGATGCATTGCAGAGGTCACGCTTTCCAGATGGACACTGGAGGAATCTGAAGGGGAGCTGCTGGCACGAAACACCATCCAATTGTATTGTTTTACTTTGGAAGGCCTCGTCACAGCGACCCTGGTCTCTGACCCTGTGGCGTGTGGGGCAGCAGGCTGGCCCAATGCCTTAAGACGCTGCCTGGTATTATGTTGGGTTGTTTTCTATCACTCACTTTCCAAAACTGCTTGGGTGGCTAATTCCCTGTATTTATCTACTGAGCAGCCTTTTTTTTCCTGGCTCCACTGACGCCCTGAGAAGAGCAATTCCAGCTGCACCTGACCAGGCTCTTTTCCCTGTATTAATAAACATCTTTACAACCAAGCTGCCCTCAGCTCCCGACCGAAGGATGGTGAAAGAGCACAAATAGCCATGCCAGGGAAGAGCTTGTCACCATGGAGGATATGACCCTCTCCCGGCACATAGCTGCCTTCCTGTCTTCTGAAAAAGGCCTGGGAGGGGACAAAGTAAGTGGGAATCAAGCCCAAACTTCCAGCAGGATGAAAGTGTTTCCAGTTCAGCTGGAAACACAGGAGTGGCAGGGCCTGAGAAATCAAAGGCCAGGAGTTTATTCCCTTTCCAGGGCTACTTACCTACTTGGAAAGTAAAACGTGTTTGTAGCCACAGCTTCCTGCCAGAGATGGTGGCCACACGGGGCATGTGAAATCCACTTTAGCCAGGGAGCTGAGGGAAATGCAGGCTCCTGGGTCACAGAAAAGACCCTTTGCTTGTTTACACCTCTCCAGGGTTCAACTCACGGCTGCTTCTTTTCACAGCGCCCCAGCTTTGGGCTGTTCCCAAGATGGGCTTCCACTCCCTCCGGAGGAAAGGGATGCACAAAGAACCCACTTCCATGCTTGACTGTGTTACCCAACTGGTTTTTGCAAAGGATGCTGCCCCCTAGTGGCTAAGTCCACTTGCAGGATAAGGGATTTACTGATGTCCGCAAGAGGAGATCAGCAGAGACCGCCCACAGTGTGTGCACTCTGATCCGGCAAAGGGCTGCTTCTGGTACCCTGTGACTAAAATGAATTTAGAGACCACTCTGCCTTAGGGAAGCAGTTTAGAGGCTGGAGCCAGTACTTTCAGGAGCGGTCAGGGAATCTGCTGATTTGCACACAGGCATTTCTGTGCACAGAGTCTTGGCCTATTTTCCTCCGCTGGTCTCAAGAGACACGCCTGGTTGTCCTTGCCACGGACACCACCCCGACCAGGCCCAGCATCCACCCTGGGTCTCCTGCTGGGCAGTGCAGTGCTCACCGCCCTGCTGGGGATGGGGTTTAATCCATTTAAATGGACATAGCACCTTCTCTGCCACAGGAACCCGTGGTGCTCACCATCTGGGCCCAGAGAACAGCAGAAAGGAGACACAGCTGCAGTCCCTCCAGACTTTTCCACAAGGGATATTATTAAAAAGCAGAAATCAGGCCCAGCTCCCATTCAAAAATCGGAGCAAGCCAGTTTTTTTCCATCCTTTTCTGATATCCCAGCAGCCTTTTTCTAGCTCTCCCCCCCAACCAATGGGTGGGAAAGGCTGTGCTGGATTTAACTCTTTTTTCACCAGCAACCAGGTCCATGCCTGTTCACACTAAGAAAACTCCCATCCTTCCTGTCACTGATCTCGCCTTCTGAAGCATCTGGGCATGTGCTACTACTCTGCAGAGCAGAGGGATGATGGTATCTACAGTGAGGGACAGAATTTACCATCTGGCTAGAATCGTGTTAGACAACAGTGTGGTAGAATGTCAGTGGTCAGTCTACATTGGGGCTCCCAGCAGTGTTCTCTGCAAGCTGAGTACTTGGGCGGCTGCCCAGGAGAGATTCAAATGCCGCCCAGCTGATTAGCAAAGCGCCCACAGGTTCCCACAGCCGGCAGCATGTGTTTGTTTTGGTGGTGCACGTTTTGCACTTACCTTGGTGCACATAAACAAAATGTATTCTGCACACGAATGGAAACTATTAGTGGGAACACTGGCTCCCAGAAATGGGGCTGCAATAGAATGAACTTTTAGTATAGTCAGCCCAGTTGTTTAAAGCCTGAAACCTGGGCCACCAAGACATCTCTTCTGTGCTCCCAACAATAATTAGTCACTCTTGTTATGACCGAAAGGAAATCAAGATGTGCTGCACCAAAGGGTTTGTACAGAACTTTCAGGGCTTATTTCCAAAAGACTTGGCAGATTGAAATTGCAAAAGCAATTTCATAGGAACTTAAAAGCATAATCCATGCATGCAAGCTAGTGGCCTCTTCTCTATCAACTGCCAAATTGCTCCAACAGATATAATGGTCAGGCGGAGGGGGGAAGGGAAACGCAATTAGATTCTGGAAGATACAATTACAAGACATTAATATCAAACATCATCATCAGTTGCAGGCCAAATTGAGACTGACAGCCCTTTACTGCACATGCAAAGCATAGAAATTACAGGAAACGACTGCTGGATATTGGAACAAGATGGCTAAGGGGGACGGAGTGAAAAGACTGCACTCAGAAATGATGCTATGGGAAGTAAGAAAAGGCCAGAGCATACGGGAAAGATTAGAAGCAATATTGGCAAAAGCAGCTACCATGGAAAGAATAGAGAAGACAAGGTCTAATCCTAGGAAGAGGAGCAGTGAGAG